CTCCAGGGGCTGTCACCCGCGCGGGGAGCGGCTCCGGGGGCTGTCACCCGCGCAGGGAGCGGCTCCAGGGGCTGTCACCCGCACAGGGAGCAGCTCTGGGGGCTGTCACCTGCACAGGGAGCGGCTCCGGGGGCTGTCACCGGCCCAGGGATGACGCCCGCGCCACTCTGGGGACAGGCAGGACACGGAGGGGCTGGCACAGCTCGGCAATGGCACACGGGATTGGGATGGCGGGGTTTGGGATCGGGACAGGCTCGTTTCATCCCAGTTTGTGCCCTGGGATTCACTGTGAATTCAGGAACTGGATCAGTTCCCATCTCACCCCAATCTGTGCCTTGGGATTCACTGGGAATCTGGGAACTGGATCAGTTCCCATCTCACCCCAGTTTGTGCCCTGGGATTCACTGGGAATTTGGGAATTGGATCAGTTCCTATCTCACCCCAATCTGTGCCTTGGGATTCACTGGGAATCTGGGAACTGGATCAGTTCCCATCTCACCCCAGTTTGTGCCCTGGGATTCACTGGGAATTTGGGAACTGGATCTGCTCCCATCTCACCCCAGTCTGTGCAGCTCTGCAGTGGTGCTGTGTGAGGACAGTGTCTACCTTCCCAACAGGGAACACAAGGAATTGCTTTGTTTGGTTTGGTTTTTTCCACTTGAACATGATGGGAATGAAGATCCAAAGTTACAACAACAGGGAAATGCTCATTCAGGAATGGAAACTCTCAGCCAAGGCAGAGGATTCCCAAAATTCCTGAACACACCAACAGCATTTCCATGTGCAACACACTTCACCCCAGTGCTGCAGGGGCAGGAGGAACCATCATCAGGGAATGGAGCAGGGAACTGGGAATGGAGCAGGGAACTGGGAATGGGGCAGGGAACTGGGAATGGAACATGGAACTGGGAATGGGGCAGGGAACTGGGAATGGAGCAGGGAACTGGGAATGGGGCAGGGAACTGGGAATGGGGCAGGGAACTGGGAATGGAACAGGGAACTGGGAATGGAACAGGGAACTGGGAATGGGGCAGGGAACTGAGCACAGAATGTCTCCTCAGAGCTTTTCATCCAACCCTAAGAGCAGCTGGTGTGCTGCTACAAGGGATTTGTGCTCCAGAGCTCAGCAGTGCCCAGCAGGATTTGGGATCTCAGTGGGAATTTGGGAACTGGACCAGTTCAGGTCAGTGTCCACTCTCCCAGCACAGAAGCCAAGTTGCTGTTTTGATTTTCTCCAGG